TTATATTTATATTGAGATTAAATGTTTTAATATGTTGCTGCAAATTCCTTTTCATGCGCAGCAAATGCGGCGGAAGCGGTTTTGAAAAATTTGAATCACGTGACATTTTGCTGCTGCTGCGTGCTGCGTATGAAAAGGCACATTAGGGCTCCCTTAGGGCTCCTGCACACTGAAGGCGGAAATGCTTGCCGCGCGGCAAAATGTGACGCATAACCAATAATCTTATAGCTTCTAAAGAAAGATGACACGTCCATTAATTGGCTATTGTAACGTCCGCCGACGGAACTACGTTGCCGAACGTTTTTCCCAGCGCACACATAGATGGTGCCACTTACCCCATTTCATACCTTTACGGTCAAAAATTATTTTCTTATGCTTATTTCAGTATAATGATTCGAAATCGCATTTGTTTAGATTCAAATAAAAGGGACTTTATCCATATTAACAATTAAAATTCAAATAATGAGATATATTAAATCGTAAAAGTAGAAGAACATAAGAATACATTAAATTTCAATCGAGATAAAAGTTTCTTTAATATAACGCCGGTGATCGCACTTTACAATTAATTTATCATAATTATTCATGCTCTTTCCTATATTCTGTCCCTGTTAAGTACAGCATAATTGTGCTGCCTAAGTATTATATATAAACTATATAATCGTTACTCAGGCATATTTACCCTTCCAATATAACAATTCTTAATAAAATATATATATATATTTGCGTAACATAATTTAAGTCGCGAGCAAGTGGACTTTCCCTTTGCTTTGATAAAAGGAGTTAAAATTCAATAAAGAAACAGAAATTCATTCTATATAACATTTGCTAGAAGATTCTCTAGTCGCGTAGCTAGCGGACTTTCGAGCAGGCTATGTATGTACCGAAAGTTTACGTTATATGACACCGGCCGCATACCTAATTACTCTCCGCGGGAGATAAAAGTGGCTGGCGCGTCCGGCCGTGCGTATCTGGCTTAGACAAAAGAATCTAACGCACGTTAAATATATTACAAAATTGAATTAATCTTGCACAGACTCATTCCCGAATGCTTATATATATATATATATATATATATATATATATATGGGCCATTTCACGTGAAGCGGATCAGTCATCTCTCAGACATTTT